ATATATATATATATATATATTAATTTCAACTATTCTAATAAGGAATATATCTATCTTATAATCCTCCGCAAGGACTTAGGAGTACTCTGAAGTCTAAACTATGGTACTTCATGTTGATTGCAGTTTTGATGATCTGACATACGTGCATATGTAATAATTGTGTAAAAAAATTGGGGTTAATTAGTACTTCACTTCATGTTAACTGCTGAGGAGTTTATGTAGGGCTGTAGGGGCCCACAGAAAGAGGTTTGACTCCTGCTTTAATTATGGATGACATAAAATAAAACCAGTAATCCAGGAGGGACAACCTTTGTTCTTTGGTGTTTGTTAGTCGTGTTTCGACTGCCTCACGATCACGACAGCTAGCCTTTTTTTTTTTTTTTTTTTTTTTTTTTTTAACAGAAATAATTTGTTACAATTAAGGGTACTAGGGGAAGGAGAAATAGGAAACGGGTTAGTGGGGTTCGAATATAATTTCATTGGTTGAATTCCATATAATTAGTAGCTATGCCACTGCACCTATTACGTGGATTTCATTTTAAATTCTCATATTGAATGGTTAGATCCACAAATAGGTATCCTCTCAAATCCACACATAATATTTGTAATCAAAGGTTATAAATGCACACCTAATTACACATATGACATGACAAAGTCATAAACTTAACATGTTGCTGTTATTATCTCATATCGATTAAGTAACGGGTTGATTATAATGCAATGCTTTTCCTCAGAATCCTCCTTCCTCCAAGCTTTAAAAGAAGAGGAACAGGAAAGAGTAGTCGGTGGCAGTATATTATATCTTTTTTTTTTTTAACCAACCGGTATCCGAAAGCTCATTAGGTTATCGACTAATTCGAATTCGAGTTGGGTAAGATCCAATGGGTGACAAAACTCTCCCTCACGAGTTTTAACGGAACTGCATTTTTAAAACTTGAAACCAAAATCTCTAATTAAACTGAAATAGTTATTGCCAACTCATCCACCCGCTCGTGGGTGGATAATATATTATATCTTACGTGCCTTAGATAACAACTTGAATTTGTTACGCTAAAAACCAGAGACCTCCTTAGCCCACACACACACTTATACTGTTCTTGACACTAGTTTATATCTAACATCTAAAATTAATTATTAATTTGCTTAATTTAATGTATTTCATGTGGGCGGTTATTAATGTTATGTAGAGCCATGTCATGTAGGTAAAGTTAAATATAAATGTTGTGCTGATAGTCAACTTCTAAGTTAAGTTGGAAGAAATTTTGGCCAAAAATGAGATTTATAGTTGCTACTTTATCAAATTAAAAGAAAAAAAAATGGGGTTATACAGTCCATATATTTAAATTCTAATTATACGCTAGAAGCAAAGCTAATTTATTAGTTTGATCATCTTAATCATAATTTCAAAGAGATAAAAATCTAGGGTTTATTTTAATTAAGAATGTGGGACTACTGGAAAGGACTCGTCAATAATTGTAACTTGTATGGCACAAATGGAAATCTTATAAACTAAAGTAATCCATGATTATGGGGAGAAAATTATAATATTTTTTAAATAATTAAGCAACATATATACGGGAAGTGGAAGTTGAGCTTCCTCTTTATTAATTCAAAGAGTAGCTGAAAATATCAAATAATGTGGAAGAACTGGGAATATATATGGGAGTTAAGGGTCACTTTAGTACGTACCAAGATATTCAAGGAATGAAATGGACGTGATGAGCAGTATGTTCAATCATTTCGTATTGAATAAGTTTTGAGTAAATGATTTGTGAAGCCAACTCTTTGCACTTTATAATGTCACCCAATTCCACATTACTAAAAGAGAGCTTCGCTGGAAACCATGAATTTAGCCCTCTCCCTCTTTTGAGTATATATAAATCAAAAAGATCAATTTCTTAGTCAACTAAGTATCCAATTGTTGAGTTTTGAAGAGTTTTAGTTTCGAATCTAGCTATACAATTTTATGCATTTTTGATTTTATAATTTTTTTAAAAGGATTAAAACTGCTGAATGATACCAGTGCAATTCATTTCTGTAATTAAGTTGGTTTGTATCTAACTGCTAGTGGTGAGACATGGTGATGCAAACATAGGCTGCTAAAATTAAGCAATGCCCACTTTACAAAGGGTAGTCTGTCCCTTTCTTTTCTTGTTGGGCTCCTCATTTAGTGCCCCTAACCGATCCCTATTCATCCTCCCACAAGCTTTCCATGAGTGAGACTAAAATACACAAAAATTTGATCAATCTGGGAAATGGGTAAGTTTTATGAAGTGCCCCATCATATATCATTAGATTTTTGTTTCCATCATTTTATCAAAAATTTAAACTTTCCTCTAACAAAATATAAAAGTTATATTGACACCATTCTAAATTTTATTTAAAAATAAAAGTTTTATGAATGGAGGTAGCATGCTTTTCACATGCAATTGCTTTTGCTTTTTATGCCAATTTGCAATTTGCAAGCACTATGTGCGTTTAGGAGCTGCAAAAGTAAGTATCACAAAGTGACTATCAAATTGTGAAACTTGATCCTACCCTTACCAGCCCTTCTTTAAATCCTCATTAACCTCTATTTTTGCCTCCCTTCCCCCAACTAATCCCCTTTCTAATCCTCACCTGATAAACATCATCCCCTAAAATACATCTAATTAAACCAAATTAACCATTCTTTAACTAACTCATACACATACTTCTTTTTCTAGCATGGGGAAGTTGTGGAAAGGGAGAATAACTGTTACAAAAGGCAGAATATTCCTACAATTTAAACCATGGATGTAGCCGTGGTTTAGGTGCAACTTGACCAAGCAAGGCAGCTAGCATTGCAAGTGCCTAACCCATCAAAACGCTTTTCTTCCAATCTTTAATATTTTAGTTGCTTAGGGCATACTGCTGATCACCCGTGAATAAATTAGTTTGATACAAATGAGAAGTATCAAGTTCAAATTTTCCATTCCCATAATTATAATTAATGAAAATTTTAATTACATGCAGCTTTTGACATCAAATGTTTCTTAGTTCTTACTATATTACTATCAATAAAAACTTCAATAATTAAATTTATTGATAAATAAGTATTATTTTATAAGTAAAATTTAATATTTGAGTTTGGAGCCTAACAATAAAGGAATTTATTTTTTTTAAAATATAATAGTTAGATGTGAAGGGACTCCTTTAAAATCATCTAAAGAGAAATAATTAAGTTGTTTTAGAATATGTTAACAACTTAAATAATTAAATAATAATTTTTTTAAAAAGAAAGAAACCATAAATTATAGTAATATGATATATAAATAAAATAAATTAAATGAAGAAGGATAATTATTTACTATTATGCAATTGAAATTCATAAAAAGAAAAAAAAAGTGTTAGAATCCAGCTTAGGATAAATACAAAATTAAAAAAGAAAAAAAAAAAGGGGGACTTTTTACTATGCTTCTCACTCTACATTACCATGTGATGGTATTATATAACATCAAACGTTAAACCAAACCTCTTTCTTGTTACCACTTTGAATTCACTATATATAAGAAACCCTTGCTCCGATCCATCACTCCTCGCTTCATATACTTGATTCTCGTTTCTTCTTCCTCAAACTCTTTCGTCTTTTGATAATTGATATGCAAACTCTGGAGGAATTTGTGGGTTCTAATGATCAGACCCTGATCACCAAAGGCAAGCGCACCAAGCGCCAAAGGTCAGTCTCTCCGTTTGGCCTTGCTAACAGGACTTCCAGCTCGTCCAGCGGTTGTGATGGCCGAGAAAGAGCAAGTGCCGAGGATTACAATTCAATTTCTTCTCCTACAACTTCCGCAGGTGAGATTTATGAGAGCACTACTGAAGAAGATGAGGACCTGGCTAATTGTTTAATTATGTTGGCCCGAGGCCATGGAGCTCAGCGGATTAAAGAAAATCGTGTTACCAATATGCAGGGGAGGCTCAGTTCTCGGAAATTCTCAGAATTAGCCACCGCCGAGACTAACAAGGGGGCGGTTGGTTTTTATGTATACGAGTGCAAAACCTGCAACCGCTCCTTCCCGTCGTTCCAGGCACTGGGAGGCCACAGGGCCAGCCATAAGAAGCCAAAGACGACGGTGGAGGAGAAGAAATCCCCAGTTTCGCCGCCACCGCAGAAGGATGATTCCGAAGAAGGGAGATTCAACAGGAACAGTCCTTTTCTCGCACTGCAAGTTAACGACAACAATAAGGCTAAAATCCATGGGTGTTCGATTTGTGGGTCGGAATTCGCGTCCGGTCAAGCCCTCGGCGGTCACATGAGACGGCACCGGGCTGCTGCTGCTGCCTCCGCCGCCGCCGCAGCAGCCAATCAATCGACTCCGAGTACCGATACAAGCACCACAGTTGACTCCAACAACGGCACCGACGACGTCAAACCCAGAAATATTCTACAGTTGGATCTCAACCTGCCGGCACCGGAGGAAGATCTCCGGGATACTAAGTTCCAGTTTGGGTCATCCCAACAAACTCTGGTCTTCTCCACACCGGCTCTGGTAGATTGTCATTACTGAAAAACCAAAACCATAGAAAAACACAGCGGTAGTTGTCAAATTGTCAATGTTAATTATATAAATTCCATAATGTTCATCACAAATATAAATTCTTTGAATTAATTTCCTTTTTCTTATCTTTGGACGACCTAATTGTTGAAGTATACTTTGAGTAAGTAAGTGGTTAGTGTTCATGGTTGCCTTTGATTCACGAAAAGTGAGTGAAGAAGGGCATCTTTTTTAGTTCCATATAAAATTATTTCCTTAGAAAATGACCCAATTTTTTTTCAAAGAAAAAAATTTTATGCTTATCCAACACTTGTATGGTACTACATAATTTCAAATTCAAAATCATTATTCTAGAAAATTTTTTTTTATTAAAAAACTATTTAATTTACAATTTAGTATAGTAACTCTAAAATAAAAAATAGGTCCTTAGGTTTTTAGGTTCTTTAATATTAAAGATTTTTTCTTATTTAAAAATTTATGTTTTATAGTTTGATATAATCTGAATTGCAAAACATGAAACTCCTTTTTCTTTTTATTGACTTAAGTTTATAATTCAATTGATAAATTACATAGTTTTCAAATATTAAAAGAAGTAATTTTTATTAAATCATCCCATTAGACCATTAATGTACATGACTTAAATTTGTTGGAAATTTTATTTTCATAAATAATATAGCTTGGTGATCTAGCTAGATTTTTTTTTTTTGTAAAAAGGATTTTGAGTTGTAAAGAAAAAATGCTGAATCATTAAGAAAGCAGAGCCACTCCTTAAGAAAGCTTCACATATTTAGTATAGTTTTGAATTTGAATTTCTAAAGTGGAGAATCTGTTTTAGAAGACAAATCAAAATAGGCATTTAGAATCATTTAAAAAGGAAAATTAGGGTTATATAAAAAAGAAAGAAGAAGAAATATCTAAAGGGGGGTTTGGCATCATGCAGTAGGCGGCCGCACCACAACCAAGAGTGGTGGATTAGGTTCTTCCGTTGGGGGAATTTTGGCTCAGGGAGAAAACAAGCATACTCATCAACTCATCAGCTTCGCAGAGAGTCAATTGTAAAAGATGACAAAAGAATAAATGGATAGCAAGTTGATGATCTGCTAACTGCCCCTTTGCTGTTTCCATCCACCGCTGTCTTTATTATTATTTTTTTATGATTATTTTTAATGGTCCAGCTTTTGTTTCATCCCTAGGCCTACCCGTTAGTACACCCTATTAACCAAATGCAATCTCCCTCCCTTACTTTTCAAGTCACTTAACTGTATTGCCTTGGGCCACTTTGATATTCCCTATAATCATTCATACACTCCATTTTTAATTAATCATAGGCTATTTTTGTTCTCTCTCATTATCTGAATCTTTTAATTTAAATATAAAATTTTTTAGAATTTCAATTTAGTTATTTACTTTTTTTGTTAAATTAAAAAGTAGTTAATGAAAAAAAAGAGCCAGTTAGTCACTTGACTACACTTGATTTTGTGTGCACTATTTGTTATGTGCATGTTTTGGTGAAAGTTGATAAGGTAGCGAAGGCGATGAACATGTGAGAGCTTGCGTGAGGTGTCGAAAAACAGTAAGAGATGATCATTGACATTGGCACATGGAGTGGGCGGAGCTTTAGCCTTTTAGCTTGATGTGTAACCTCCCCATTATTCTCTTATAATATTATTTTATTGCTCCAAAAGAAGGAATATATAACTTAATGTAAATACACTCTTATTTTGCTTGGCATATTCAAACTATCTCTTCTAACTGGCTACTCAACCACCCTAGCTAACAGACATGAGTTTCAGTTTCATTGTTTACAAAATCCGGAAACTATTTACTTAGCCATCTCCCACAATTAACAGTTTGAACATGAGATTGATTTCTTGAAAATGTGGGGTTGTTTTTGGAAATTTAAATTGGAGTTGCCAAACAAGGTAACTTGGAAAGGCATGGCATCCAAACTTTCACAGCTGGATTCTTTCTGCTGCTTCTACTGAACTTTTGTTTTTTCCTTTTTTGGTGGCATTGTACTCACATTCACATTCACACACACACATATATATATGGTATGGTGATAGCTAGACCATAGCTGCTTCCAAGGCGTGTGAGCTAACTGTAACCAGTTGTTCCAAAGCCAATGACTTCATTAGTAATCAATTTGGTGCAATTGGTGTCTTTAATTGGTTAATCATTCTGTTAAACAAACTTCTTTATCTAACCAATGACTTGGTCTTCTCAGACTTGCATTAATTCACTGAGATAAAAGTCCAAAAAAGCATCAAATTAAATTAGGTTTACTTTTCTCTCACATAACAAAACAGCGACGTTGGTGGGTTAGATCAAGATTTAGGTTGTATAATTAGCCTCATCATGGTTTTCTACGGCTACTGTTTCTTTTGGTGAGAGGTTGGCGCCTACCTAATAATGTGCTTCATCACAGATTTGGCTAAATTAGTCAGCTTCTTTCCTTTGATCATGATAATTATTACCAAATGAGATGTGTAAGGCCAAACCATACGCAGACTTAAAAAGCAAGGCACCACTGCTTATTTATGGGTTTTGCCGTACATAGAAAAAACTGTTGTCTGAACTAGAAAGGGGCATTTCCATAAAGATTATTAATTTGTAACCTGTAAACATAGTGTTGCTGTGGTGTAGTGGTTATCACGTCAGTCTTACACACTGAAGGTCCCCAGTTCGATCCTGGGCAGCAACAATTGATTTTTCATGGTGCTATAATGCACACCCTGGTTGTGATTCTCATTTTGGGCCTTTTTGAGATGTTAATCTGTTATAACATACCATTATCTAATTAATTCTTAAATAAAGTA